TCGCAGGGCCATTGCCACCGGCTGGGGGACAGGGACAACCCAGGCTGTTGGACACACCACACAACCACGGAAGAAAAATTAGGGCAAAGCAGGGCCGGCTCTCTCTCTCCCTCTGAGTGATCATCGCCCTCATTAAAAAACAACTAATTATTATTCTGGCTCATTAACAATTATAAATCTCCAGCTCCGGTACTTCATTAAAAAAAATGACAAGTTAGCACTTAATTATGTTCCCTAGCAGCCCGATGGTTGGAAGCGTTAACCCTCCCCACCCTGCCGCCCGCCAGCGCCCGCCAGCGCCAGCACCCACACCAGCACCCGTGCCAGTGCCGACATCCGCACCAGCGCCGGCACCCACAGCAGTGCCAACGTCCACACCAGTGCCAGCAGCTGCACCAGCACCCGCACCAGTGCCAGCAACTGCACCAGCGCCTGCACCAGCACCAGTGCCAGCACCCGCACCAGTGCCAGCAGCTGTGCCAGCCAGCTCTCGGAGCGAGAGGGCACTCCGGCCTCCCCCTTCCATGCTCCACAGAGGGAGACTGAGCCCCGGGATCTCCCCGGACACTCGCCCTGCAGCGGCTGGGTGCCCTGGGCTTGCTGAGCCTCCTCCCGCAGCACAGGCCTGTGTTCACCCCGGGGAGAGGGGAACTGGGAGCAGGCAGGAAACCAGCTCGTGCACCCAGCATCCGCGGGGAGTTTACTTGAGGCAGCGAAAACACCCCTGCCCATAGGGCAAAGCTGGCCCTGGGCACTTGTCACCGAGGAACGCTGGCTCCGTGTCACCCCCCACCGCAGCCAACGATGCTGCAGATCTCAGGGCAGAGGTTTGCAGGCAGCAGCCAGCAGCAAAGCCGATGTTTGGGGCAAAAGCCCTCGAAAAGCAGAGCTGCGGCGGGGCAGGCAGCTGCCTGCATCCCTGGCACCGGGCTGCCTCGCCGGCGTGGCGCACGGCACCCAGAGCCTCCACCGAGCACCTTCCCGCTATCCGACGGATAATTGGCCACTAAATCCCTCCGGGGGAGAAACGGTGGGGAAAAAATTACAGCTGCGGAACTAGCTCTCCAAAATTATATCACCTTCTCTGACAGGATAATTGCTCCTTTTCCCCAAGATTTAATACGGATCTCACATCCTTAAACAGTTGTGTGTTATTTTAAGGGCTCCTGGCGTTTTTCCCTCCTCTCCCAGGTAGCACAGGATCCGGCAGAGGAGGTGGTGCCTCCCTGGCACGGTGAGTTCTTTTGGGGTGGAAGATGGTGACAGTGGCACTGTGTGTTGGTCCCGGGGGGGGCGATGCAGGGAAACATGCGCTTGCGGTACCCAGAGGAGATGCCGGGGGGATGATCCTGGTCGGGGTGTCACTGACATCTGCCACGCGGGAACAAGGCCCCCGGCGCCGCAGCACCAGCAGTGTGCCTTGTTCTCCCTGCACTCTAATGGCTACATCAATATTATCTTGCCTGCAACTTGCCCTGTGACAAGTATATTAATGACACGGTGCAGAGCCCGCGCAGTGCCGGGGAAGGACATGCACAGCATATGGGGGCTGGCGCAGGCAGGGGCCTCACTTGGAGCAGGCAGGACCTGGCAGAGCCCACCCCGGGGGGGTCAGGGAGACATTTCGGGGGTCAAAGCCCTTGGCCAGACCCCGAGGACTCAGGCTGTTTTCAGCCCTGGTGATCCTGGGAGCCAGAAACCCCTCCCCGAGAAGGACCTTGATATTTCGGGGTGCCCGGTGCGGAGTGTGTGCAGTTCCCCGGGGTCCATGCCAGAACCGTGTGCCTGCTCCCAAACACTCGCACCCAGGAAAACTCTCCCTCTGGCTTTCATCCAGACTTCGATCCTACAGAGCTATCGCAGTGAGTGATAAATCAGCCTGCAGACACAGGAGCCCGGCAGAGATGCCCGCCCGCGCTGCCACCGGCCGAGACCCATCCATCACTGCCCTGGGCCTGACCCCACAGTCCCCGCTGTCCCCGCTGCCGCCTGCCACCTGCGTGCCTTGCTCGGGGACGGTGGCCCCTGCGCCCTGCCAGCCCCCAGGGATGCTCTGCCATGGGGGCCGGGGGGAACCCCAGCAGCGCCAGCCCCCCCAGCACAGCCCTGGATGTTCATTAGGTTTCCCATGCACAAGCCCTGTGCTGGCAGCCAGAGCCATAACCCACCTCTCCGGCAAACTGCCCCAGCTTCGGCGGCAGCTGGCAGCCCAGCCAAGGCTCTGGGGGTGCAGCCGGAGCCATAACCCACCTCTCCGGCAAACCGAAA